TAATTTTGTTTCATTTTCTTTTTTTTGTCTGTAACTGTTACACGCGTATCATCGTATTCTCACTGAATTTTGCTAGCAAATCATTGTACTTACCAGCGGGAAACAAACGGGCTAATGGAATGGCAGATAATTTATTGTCGCAATTACAATAAAAAATGAAAAATTTGTAAAAAATTTTAAATCAAAACTTGGAAGGCGGTGCTAGGATATGTGCGCCATATTCAGCATTCATATAAACACGAAAAACGATATTCGAATTAGACATCCCTTCTTCAGGCACTGCATTAAATAAACCCAAAATAAACAAATATCGGGGCTCCCGAAGTATGCGAACCAAGATGGCGGACATCGGAATGTAATATGTGTACTAGGTTTGGGTTAGGCCATAATTTTAGGTATAAATACTACGGGAGGCTCTTGGCTAGTCTTCGAACTGATAATAGAACTAAAATAAGGAAAATTGGAAAAAAATTATCGCCTAACCCTAACCTGTTACCCATGTTTCGTTCCGATGTCCGCCATCTTGGTTCGCATACTTCGGGAGCACCCAAATATCACTACACACGTTTTTCAAGTTTTCGGCTTTTTGTATGTAAAAAATCTTGCGCTAGCCAAAGCAATATTTTTATGGGAAGAATTTTATCCATAAGTTGGATATTTCAGAGCCTTTCGTAGGTAGAGTTTCTAGGTGCGGCCCATGGATTAACCCATTTACTTGTATCTGGCCCTCCTGTAATAAAGGTTGCACACCCCTGATGTAGGTAATGTCAAATTAGAAAGCTCCCATTCCTCCCTACTCATCAATGATAGCTTGTCTATACCCTTGCTCTAGATAAGTTGAATTAATGCTTCATATATACATGAAAAAAATTGTAAAACTCACTAAAGATATCCTGACTTTCGCTTCACCCAGCATCACTAAAAAAAAATTAAAAAAAGTTATTCAAAATATTTGTATGTTTAATCAGGAGACACCAAAACATAAAAATTCCCATTTCTGAATAAATTAGAATGAACTAAATTATGTGAAACTATCTTTGATTCTGGAACTAACACAAATGTATTTCTGTAATGTTTCGCCTGATACGAGTCAGAACTACATTATTCAAATATAAAACATTCGTATGCACTTTTAAACAATGAGTATCACACTGTGCGAGTTAATCAATAAAATCTGTGATTTCCTAAATAACTAACAGCAAGAGACTGGGATAAAAAATTAGAAGATTTCCGTTTAATAATAAAGTTAACGTATATATGAGGAAGACTGACCACAGGAAAAAATGTTGAAGAAATATATTAGTGCATGTGTGTAGCAAGACTCTTGCTTTTCTCAGGATAGTTGTCTTCAGATGGAAATTGAATATTATATACATTAAGAATGAGTAATTTCATGTTCAAACATTTTTATTGATAAATTGTACAGAACATGTACAAATTGGCTTGTTCAATGCTAACTGTTCAAAATAAAAATTTTTCTGAATATAAACGGTAATATATAGTAAATAGTATTAACCAACTAGTTATATGTTTATTTTATGGCATCTAAATATTTACCCATCAACTTCTTATGCATTTCTTGCAGTGCTTTCTGAGCCACCTCATCCTTTTCTTGCTTCATTTCTTCTTCCAGGGCCTTGATTTTTTCAGAATATTCTTTCTCTATTGCTCGGCGTTTTTTTTCCATCTTTGCTTCAATTTCCTGACTCTCTTTGGTGACGACAGAACCTGTAAAGCAGAAAAAATATATTTCACAAGTTAGGCAACCTTATGATTACTATGAACTTGGTCATTGAAGTCCTACATATCTATCACAGAAATGACCATTTTTTGATCTCTGTCATTATGAACGAAGGACCTTTTCTGGACTGGGTTTCAGATCTGTACCTGTTTTAGTTTGACTATTACATAGACTAGTGCCTTATGCCCATTTTGAGGTTTGGCAACTACTAAGAACCAAACTACTATAAAATATCCTCGGAAATTTAGAACGTGACACAAGCAAATTTGGCTACGATTCCTACGACGATATTGTAACGAACATATTTAATTTAGATGCAAATAAATATAGTTGAAAGGCTCATGTTTCCGGAAAGCAATTATATTTTGAGTATTATCTGCATAAAAATGATTTTGGGTATTGAAGACTTATATGTACATGACAATAATTTTGATTTAAATACAATCCACATTCCCACGGAAGTTCATTTTCACCAATAAATCTTCACACAACTTACTTGGACCAGCAACATCCCCTCCGAAGTACTTATGCCGAAGGACTTCATCTGCAGTTGGCCTGTCTCGCGGATTGAAGCTGAGCATCCATCTTAGCAAACGATAGATCTCACTATCAGCCTCTAGTTTGCTCAAATCCAATCCACGATTCTTCTTGATATTTCCATTCCAATAATCTGGGTCATCACCGAATGGGTGATGCCCATCAGTCTCAATGAAATGTATAACAAGGGCCAGGGAGTAAATGTCAGTTGCTTTAGAAATTACGTTTGAGTTGTAGGTTTCTGGGGCCCTCCAGCCATCAGTGCCAACACGTAAAGTGCTTAAATTAGTGACAGATCTACCACTGGTCATTTGCTTACTGAGTCCAAAATCTATTATTTTGAGATAGTTTTCATCGGTCGAAAACAGTATATTATCAGGTTTTAAATCACGATGAATGACTTCATTTTTATGAATGTGGACAATGCCATCCACAAGCTGGCGTATTTGCCTCAATTTAACATCAGGATTTTGTTTCCCCTTCTTGCTTTTCACATGCTCTGTCAAATTTTGAGTGCCACAAATTTCCATGGCTATATAGATGTACTTCAAATGACCGGCATTATAAACCCCAGATTGAATAACTTGGGCAACATTAGGGTGAGGGCAAAGCTTAACAAGAATTTTTGCTTCCATTTCATTTTTCTCGGAATGACTAATACTTTTGATAGCAATGGGAGTTTTGCCGAAATCGTGATGTATTTGTACACCCTTACAGACATTTCCTAATTTGTTAATTTTTTCTTTATGAAGCAAAAAGATGGAAGCACTCAGTTGAACAGAATCTGAAAAATAAATATTTTTCAAAATACAAGACGCTCGTTCATGTTGGTTGCTCTAAACAAGACCCAGTACATCAGCTGATATACGTTAGAATGTACTATTTTTGATATCATTCCTATTCAGGATCGCATACATAATTGACTACACTCTGAGTGAGGTTTACTACAGTGTTTGCCAACACAATTAAGTCTTATGCTTAGACCTCTAGGCAAGAGGTCGCAACGTTTTGTTACTCGCAGGCCAAAATTAAAAGTTCTCGGATCTTGGCGGGCTGTACATATTTTTCAGTAAAGTTTAAATCTGAACGGATGGCTAATGAATCTAGAAACATTTGAAATAAATAACAGTAATAGTCTTCTAGCGAAAAATACAATCCTCAAAGAATATTAAAGAGAAAAGCGATTTTTTATAACGATAGGAAGAAGAACAAATTAATAACAAAACTATTCATAGGTCTACTTTGTGTCCAATAAGCTGAGATTTATTAAAAATTACATTATAAAATTAAATTATGGTAAAAATTCACAGCCGCCATTTTGTCGCTGAATTTCAGCGAGACATCGCAGGCGGAATCATTTTACTCAGAGGGTCGTATATGGCCCGCAGGCCATAGGTTGCTGACCCCTGATTTAGGCAATCACAAAACCTAAAACCAAAGTAACCTACTCAGACGCTAGATTAAACTTTGAAACCAGAAATGACCTAATATAGACCTGGGATTGGGTTTGGATCTTCAGATTTAGAGCCTGATTCAGTTGAACCTTCTTGATTCACCACCTCGATGTTGGAGGAACCTGATATGAGATTCTTTGCGGTTACTTGATCTGGAATACAGAACAGGCAGGCTTATAAATAGAAATGTCAAATAAAAGTACATAAAGTCAAAAAAATGCTGCTATTTTCTACATCTCTGATTTCCAGTTCAGAAGAGGATAAAAGTAAATGCAGAGTACACCCCCCAAATGCACCCTAAAAGGTGGCTAATGAAGATATGAATCATTCAATTACTGATATGCGAATGTGAGGATATCGTATGGTTACCAGTTTTTGAGAAATAATTACCAGTTATTGGTTTCTCAGTTACGTGAACCACCCTACCTCATAAAATAAAATAGGATTTACATATTTATCCCGGGGGAGAGGAAAGCCGATAATATGTCTTATCTGCATTTAAAAAAAACATGACATGAAATGATATAGAATGTTGCAACTGATGATATGTCCTATTCAAATGAGGTATGATGTTATGAACATTTATCATACTGTTGTACTGTCAAATCAAGTTCTACGGCAGTACAGTATCCATCATTTAAATTTCAAGAAAATTATGGCTTGGCAATATATTTTTCATAAAAGTTATAAAATCGATCAATTCGGTAGTGGCAAACATTATAAATTCATTAATACTGTAATATGGTGGCAAGTAATTTTTATTTATTTATTTTTTTTAACTATCTGTCTGTAATTTATCATGTTCTTCTTACTTTATAACTTCTGTATGGTTGTGTGTCACTTGTGTGTGGGTATGTGTGTGAAATATTTCAATTATTTTGGGTGAGTGAACACATACCGCTACTTCTTGGCAAAACCTTCCATCTTATATACATTATGTACGTTTTAAACCTTATCTAAGGTTTTGTTTGCTCTCCTGATTTCATAATCAGTTTTTATTTATTTATTTTTACCAATCATTTTATTGATATGCTGGTTATGGAGTCAAAATAAACTTATACTACTTATACTATATACTGCTGTACAATGTCAAATCAAGTCCTATCCCAGTATCCATCCTTGAAAATTCAAACATGAAAATTACTCCCACCTCCTTTGACAACATACTGAAGATTTTGTTTCACAAATGTTACATTCGTTCCAGGAGCTAATTTCAGGCTCGAAGTTGGTAAAGACTGGAGTGTTTTTTCTCCAATATCCTGGAATGCCTCAAAGACTGCAAGTTCGCCCTTGGCATTCTCACCCGATGTCCCCGCCTTTGCCGGCCCTTCCGACAAATTTTCGTCACTTGGTTTTCTTTTTCTGGATTCATCCATTAAGTATATCCAGCTATCAATCTATTCTAAAGCATGTGAAAACCGAAAAGAGCAATTAGAACTGAGTAACAATACAGTAACGTACCCGCGTACCGTACCCAAATAGAGGAAGCAAAGTGCTAGGTTACTTCTTCATGACCTATAACCCCGATTAACGGCTACCACGCCCCATGCCCCTTCCATCCTTATGGCCCAAAAGTAAATTATGTATTACGCAATTTGGGAGAAGGGTGAAGTCTTCAATAATAATAAAAAAGGATATTTTTAAGAAATGTATTCTAAAAGCAAGGTGACGCACGTAAGAGCGGCGATTGGCGAAAACAAATAACTGACTAATCCCATACCCGACATGGTAACCGGACGAGAGGCCATGGTTCGCCATATAGTTCAGCAGTCTTATCAGCTTTCCACTCTACAGGGATAAATATGTATTATTCTATCTTAAAAATGCAAATAAATACTGAATCAATCCATAATTGCAGCGGTGGAACAGAGACCTTAAGCAATTCAAACGAATACGATCGGGAAAACAGTTTACGGAAATTTACGAAAATTAATTTTTTTCCCTCGCGCTTGACTTCCAAATGACAACTTCAAAGATGCATTAAAACATAACAGCACGTATTACTTTAGCCGCACAGAGACAATTTTGAAGCCAGGTTAGTTGGTATTACGCCAGGTCCGGAGAAGTTAATCTCTGTTTTCATGGGAAAACCAAAAGTGGTGTTGATAGAATTCCTTTATGTATATAGTTTTTATATATATATATTTACTGTGAGTTCATATTGTAACAGAACCTGTCTCAATTTATTTACCAAGTATTTGCATTGGATGGTAATTGACTCAGACGACCGTATATAGTCGTATCGTTATCACCCAGTCACATACCGAAAACTGCATTATGTGTTGTTTTGTTATTATTAGTCATTGTATCATCATGTTTTCTTTTTTGACGAAAAAAATTAATTTTCTTTCTCTCTCATGAGGGGCACAACGGGGTAATGATAAACCCGTGAAAGTTGACCTAACCACAATTGCTTCTCCGATTATCGTCTTTTCTATTTACCCGCGAAAATGACGACAAAATGATAAAAACGAAACAGTCGCTCAGCAGATACTTTTCCAAATAAAATAATTCTAGAATGTAACCGAACCTAATGCGATTTAAAATGCTAAACAAAAGATCTAACCATACCTCTAATTTATGCAAACTTAAATATCGATTCGCCACCTCAGCCTGGATATTATATGTGTATTTGAGAATTTGGATGAGTTCGTGATTACTCTTGGCGAGTCATTACTAGACATTTTCATTAATTTTATGACATAACAAACGAACAACTGGTTACCTGTTGTCAACGTGACTACTGTAACTGTTTCTTCACTTTGCATATTGCCATGCCCGACATGTAGGCTACTGAGGATTGGACAAAAGAATGTTGTTCGCCATTTAATTAAACAGTCTTGTCTCATTCCCTCTCCTATGAAACACATAACGTATCCTACCATGGGTAATAAAATCTGCGATCTCTACAGTTCACGATACTAAAATAGTAATTTATGTCGGAGGGCAAGATCGCAGAGCTTAGGTTTAGTCCGATTGGGGCGAATCAGACTACTACAGTACTGTGTCTCGAAACATAGCTTATTTTAATAACAACAAAATCTCTTCTGTCATTTCTAACTACATATACCAGTACGAGACAATTACTTCAACAACTAGACGTTTCGAACCAACTACCGTTGCCTGAAAATAAAACCAGATGTGCTTTTACTTACAATCAATTTCGAAAAAGTTTTAAGTAGTTCATAGACGAGGTTGTTACCAAATTTGTGGATGCGAACGGTAAATGCATGGGTATAAATTGAGCTGATAATGAACCTTCGACAATATTAGCAATTTCACGTTTCGTATATAAAAATCTCGCGAATTTGTTCTGGATTTAATATCATCGGAAAACATGAAATTTTGGAAACTCTGCAATATATTTTGCTACCAGACTGTAAAATGACCTAATAGCTTACTTGGTCGAACAAAATTTTAAAAGTTTTTACATATTTTCATGACTATGCTGCAACCAGAAATACTAAACGAATGTCTAATACATCCTAATGCCATATTTTCCACCTTTATGGACATTTAAAACATTGTCTTATTCTTTGTTTTCCCAGTCACTAGTGATCGTCTACTCACTGACTCATGGTCTGTAATTTAAGTAGTCGCCTCATGCTTAATATGGAGTCAAAATCAACCCTTTTTCTGGGAAACCGTAATACACGAGCGAAGATTGTAGTGGATTTCTCAAGTTACGTAGGATAGAATTTACTTATTTGTCCCCGAGTAGAGGAAAGTCAATAAGATGGCTCTATCAATTGATCGAAGGAGCTGTAACTAACCAGTGATTTCAGCAATCTTTTTGAACAAAAGTATCCATTAGACTTGATCCTGCTGAGCTGGGCAGTGATTTCTTAACCCCCCCCCCCCTCTCTGAACCATAAACTGGAACGATTATCTGGTTAGCTATACCTATACACCCAGATTGGAAACCGGTTACTCCTGTAGTGTGTTTAACAGGTTAGGGCATAATTTGTACCTCCTGAAGTATGCGCACCAAGATGGCGCACAACCTGAACTCAGGTCGTGTACCAAATTAGGACCCAGGTTGTGCGACATCTTGGTACCCATAATTTTGTCCAGATTTTAGTTCTATATACCCCATGGCCATAGATTTCAGTTATTTTACACAACTTGATGTAAAGTAGGCAAACAAAATGAACTACCTACATATTGGTACACACGCTTTTGGAGCGCTTCCGAGCAACAGACCTTGATTCATGGTATAAATAAGCTGTTTTATTATAAATCTCTGAAAAAACATCTCTAACTCTGGCCCTTCCCAAACAAATTCTTTTTACCACAATTACAGAACTGAAAGCGACAAGGGAATCATTTAATATCAAAATGCATCAAATCACTACCAGCTAATATGAGAATACACACACTAAAATATTTACAATTTTAGTAAAAACTTACAAAAATGGTTAGGAAGAGTAAAAAATTACAGACATCATAACAGATATGGAAGGTTTGTTAAGAGGCAACAATAGACGGATTGGCTTCTCTTGCAATGTTAGCTTGTAGCATCGAAATTATATAAATCAAATGAATGCATCAAAATTAACATAGTGGCATAGATTGATAATAACTAACGAGTCCACAGTGCAAGAGAAAACTTAAATTCAAATACCCACCAGGCCTTGGTAGTTATACGTCTAGGTAGTTATACGCATAGTAATATTCCCAAATTAGCTATGAGCAAAGCCTGCCAAGTAAATAAAAGGTACTATTGTATTAGATAGATAGTCGAAATTTCGAAAACTCCATAACAAACCTAAATTAAAAATGGAGAATTCTGGAGGGCAAGCAAAACCTACAAAAAAGTTTAAAACATGAAGTATCTCATGTGCCTGCCCACCAGCACGCACACAAAAACACAAGCCCAATTAAATGAGGCTTGGGCCAAAGTTAAAAAACAAAATACACGATAGTAATAAACTTTCGGGCTGTTGTACTCTCTTTCAACAATTATTATCAACAAGTATTATCTTAAACAGGGCTATAACGCAATAGATCGTACAAATGAGACTTTGCCTGTCGAACCAAGTAAAACAGACCTGCATCAAGCTGAACCATTCTATCTGATTGACTGAAATAAAGTTAGTCTTGAATAGTGCGACCCCGTCCTTATGTGTATTCGAACTATTTGTATAATCAACAGCATGGGTTTTCCCTATTTAAACATCAGGTAATGTTTCAGCATATGGCTCAATCTGTTGTATATGACGAAATTTCTCACAATCATCTGAGAGGAAAGTCGAAGAGACAGCTTATACAAATGACAGCCGGTTCATTTTTTTACATATCGCTTTTCCAACTTTTTTCACCAAACGAGGCCCGTCTAGGTGCCACTATCTTTGAAAGGTCCAGAATCTCTCAGATTCAGCCCCAGCCCCCCCCCCCCCAATTCATTACACATTGGGTTAGGTGGGGGCCATGGGATTTGAACGCAGATGTGTAACCTGTGTTTGCCAACACAGCCCAGTCGGCGCTCCAGAAGTATGTGCACCAAGATGGCGGACACCGGAACGTAGTATGAGTACCAGGTTAGAGTTTGGCCATAATTTGATTTCAAATTTTAGTTCTATTACGAGTTCGGGGACTAGCCAAGTGACTCCCGTAGTATTTGTACTTGAAACTATGGCCTAACCCCAACCTGGTACACATACCATGTTCCGATGTCAGCCATCTTGGTTCACATACTTTTGGAGTACATTTCAGTCCAATACTTTTATCACAAGACCATCACGACCAGTTGATCAAGTTCTTGGTGAGGAGCATATGCATATGTTATTTTGCTACAAGAGACTTTTTTCATTGATAACCAGTTGTGTTGTACATTTTGATTGCTACAGTAGATCAAGGAAAATGCATAGGGTGTGTTAAAAAAATAATTTTGACGGAATGAAAAATATTTGGTGAACTCGTGAATTATAAAATACAGTAAAATGACAATAAATTGCCAAAAGCTCTATAAAAATGGAAGATAATGGGTGAATTAGCCAATGTTATAAAAAAAATAAAGATCGGGTGAATTTACTATTTTAACCCAATTCACAACCAGCGTGGCACAAATAATGGGACATGCGTAGACATCGCTAAGTTAAAAATTAGAACTCAGGAGATTACTGGCATAAAAGAGTACAGTCAATTTTTTACACCAACTTTTACCTATTCAAATCAACAAGATCTTTGCCACAGGGAATTCTTATGCCACCATGTATGATGACAGAAAAAATGTAAGAAAGTTACAGCTGACGAATAAAATGACAATATATACATATCGAAGGCAGACCTTTAATCGAACCATTTTATTTTTAAATACAATGCTTAATTAATAACGTCTTTCGATTTGAATAAGGCCCTGCTACACAGCCACTGATATTTAGCAGATATGTGTTTTATGATCTGCAGAGAGCTCGTTATTATTTGACGGGCAGTAATCTTTTCTGTTCAGAATTTTCTACCCAATTTGAGAGCAAAAAATTGATAACACATGCTGTCTTGACCTCTCAGCATAAATTTGTAAGGGGTTAAGTATCATGGGCTCAGGAATATTCCACGAACAAGTTTTCGTTATTTCCTCATATATCTCTATTCCTTTTCCCTGTAATTAAGAAAAAGTAATTAATTTTCGCACACTAGTAAGAATATCATTAGATGAGTCAGTTGTTGAGTAGAACTATTCAGTTTTTTCATATTTTGCATAAACTGACCATGCGTATTCATCCACATCAGAATGATGACTAGTAGTCACCATATTCTGGCGAGGAGTTTTCATAATCTGGTGAGGAGTCTTCATAATCTGGTGAGGATCCTGCATAATATGGTGGGGAGTCTCCATGTTCTGGTGAGTAATAAGTAAAAAATAGTTTGATGAAAATAGAACAAAGCATGCATCATTTCCTAGATGCTCAAATAAAATGCAAACACTAATGGCAAAGAACATTAATAATTTTTACAAATTACTTCAAAGTGGAAAACTTTGCTTGTTGGCCATCAGAGAGTCATTGAAATTGTGCCGCCAAGTTTTTACGCTGCGATATTCCTCATGTATACAATTAGTATTGAGTAACACTTCAATATCGAATGAAAAATAGACAAAACATTTACTAGAAAATGAAATCGATAACTTTTAGGTTTTTGATGAAAAGTGGCCCAACAGGATTTTCAGGCGACCCAGCTTTAGGTTGGGAAACACTGGCCAAATCCTTATTCAAATTAACTTGTATAAACACTTCAAATAAAAAACAGTAAAAACTACCTGAATCTTCCCATTCATTTATCTTCCCTGAAAAAACATAAGGAATTTATTTAAAACATTTGCATGTATAATGAGAAACCCCTAAAACATAAAAATTCACTTTTCTGAATATATTTTGTAGCCTATATTTGAGTCTGGAACATTGAAAGTGATTAAAGAATTTTGCTGCACACCAACACAAATGTATTTCTGTAACGTTTCGCCTGATACGAGTCAGACATACATTATTCAAATATAACAATAAAAGCAACTGCATGCGGATGCGCAGCAAGTCTTTTGAACCACTTCGAATAGACATCTTCATTATTGATATGACGTACTTGCAATATATGCATACAGATCCATGAGCGCAAAATCATAGGAGGTAAATAAATATGAGCAGAAACCCAATTTAACAACATATAACTTAAGTTTTATGATCAATTGTGTGTCACTATGCTCTCATTAGCTTGTTCACAACTAAAAAGTTCTATGCCTTCAAAACACAATGTAACACAACATATTATTCACCTATTTCGGCAATCAACTTTTTAAGCCTTTCTTGCAGTGCCTTGCGAACCACCTCATCCTTTTCTTGCTTCATTTCTTTTTCCAGAGCCTTGATTTTTTCAGAATATTCTTTCTCTATTGCTCGACGTTTTTTTTCAATTCTTGCCTCAATTTCCTGACTCTCTCTAGTAATGGTAGAGCCTGAGAAGCATTATTTTTTTTTAAGTTTGGTTGATCCAAATAAGCTCACCGTATGTCATATTTTGTATAAATGGACGTTTTTTGATCTCCCGTCATTATAAACCAGGGACCATCTTTTGGTCTGAGTTTCAAATCTGTACCTGTTTTAGTTTTTACTTTAGATCAGGGTTGTCCAAATCCAGGCCCGCGGGCCACAAGTGGCCCGCCGACTCATTATCTGTGGCCCACGTCGCAATATTCGGGGGAAACAATGAATCAAATTCGGTGTTGTTTCAGCACGAAAATAAGCAGAAAAAGATTTTGCCATATTGTTACATCACTAATGTTACTGAATTGACTAGTGTTATGGCTAGATGAGACTACTAGCGCAGTTGTATAGTTTGCTTGGCCAGTCTAAAGTGTAGACTGGCTTCCTTTTCTTGTCGGGAATATATGCTAACAAAATAGGCTTCATAAAACACTAAATATCGAATGAGGAACCTATTAGCCTAGGTTGGTTATGTCTGATAACTAAATATAAATATAATGGCCAATCAATATAATTTCTGCCGGGTGTCTTTTGCACCCGGCCTAAACAGTATTACAAAAAATGCTGCCTATATATCAGAAGATTTAGTAATTACCCTTCTGTAGCTCACATTTGGTAATCAATCAATCTGCAGTTATTTTGTAAACATGCGTTTGAAATGAAAGCTGACTAATTCAAACAGATTTTTGACTGGATATAGGTGGGGAAATACCACAATGCTTGCTTAATATGTCTGCAAGTTGTGTCGGTGGCAATCTAAAAGGACATCTTAGCGTTATGATCCTTTCTCCCTTATGAAGAGTTTGAAGTCTTACGTTAGATATAGTATAGTAAGACTTTTGCACGTTTTAGTGAGTTTTTTGGAGTGTTTTACGTTTCTTAGCTTGATGAATATTGATCAATGTGTTTAAACAATAAAAGTGTTCCTTTTCTATTGCACTGTTTACCTATTCTTGGCATTGTGTGGCCCGCAAACAATACAAAAATAATAGTGTGGCCCGCGATGCCGACAACCTTGGACAGCCCTGCTCTAGATAGTGCATTATGGTACTTTGTTCGGAAATTTCTGTCACCAGGGGCCATCTTTTGGTCTAAGTATCTAAGTTGTACCTGTTTTGGTTTTTATTAAAGGTGATGCTTTACTTCCATTATTAGGTTGGGATGTTGAAACCGAACTACTACAAAAATTTCTCATAGCCATTAAAATGCGACATAAGCTAATTTGGCCACACTGTGATGATAAAGTAACAAATTTATATAGGGCAAAGCAGTACATGACAATAATTTAATTTAAATTACAATTCACACTCCCACAGAAGTTCATTCTCACCAATAAAACTTCACAAAACTTACTTGGACCATCAACATCCCCTCCAAAGTACTTATGCTTCTGGACTTCATCTGCAGTTGGCCTGTCTCGCGGATTGAAGCTGAGCATCCATCTTAGCAAACGATATATCTCACTATCAGCCTCTAGTTTGCTCAAATCCAACCCACGATCCTTTTTGATATTAGCATTCCATTCATCTGGGTCATCACCAAATGGGTGATGTCCATCAGTCTCAATGAAATGTATAATAAGGGCCAGGGAGTAAATGTCAGTTGCTTTAGAAATAACGTCTGAGTTGTACGTTTCTGGGGCCCTCCAACCATCAGTGCCAACACGTAAAGTGCTCACATTAGTGACAGATCGACCGCTGGTTATTTGCTTACTGAGTCCAAAATCTATGATTTTGAGATATTTTCCATCAGTCGAAAACAGTATATTATCAGGTTTTAAATCACGGTGAATCACGTCATTTTTATGAATATGGACAATGCCATCCACAAGCTGGTGTATTTGCCTCAATTTAACATCGGGATTTTGTTTCCCCTTCTTGCTTTTCACATGCTCTGTCAAATTTTGGGGACCACAAATTTCCATGGCGATATAAATGTACTTCATATGACCGACTTCATAAACACCAGATTGAATAACTTGGGCAACATTAGATTGAGGGCAAAGCTTAACAAGAATTTTTGCCTCCATTTCGTTTTTTTCAGAATGCCTAATACTTTTGATAGCAATGGGAGTTTTGCCAAAACCATGATGTATTTGTACACCCTTACAGACATTTCCTAATTTGTCAATTTTTTCTTTATGGAGCAAAAAGATGGAATCACTTAGTTGGAGAGAATCTGAAAAATAAAAATATTGTTACCAATTCGTCAATTTGCATTATTTATTGGGTGAATGTTTTTTTATATACAAGACGCTTGTGTACATTATTTGCTCCAAACCAGACCCAGTACAACATCCACTGATATATAGTTCTGCAATTCCAAGATGTCCCGGCATTCGGGTTACACAATTTACTACACCCTTGGTGGCAGTAGTGGGCAGGGAATTTGAACAGAGATGCGTAACTTGCGATATCAACAAATTACAGGCCACCATGAAACTCAGAAACCAAAGTAAACAACCCAGACACTAGATCGGGGGTGGCAACATACGGCCCGCGACAAATTTTGACCGGCCCGCCAACTGCATCCAACCACACTTCGTAATGTAGTCCGACGCATCATTTTTGGAAGTTGCTGATCGCTCTACTTTCATCGAACTGTCAGTGCGAGCTGGTGAAATAAACAATTGCCTTAGTGTACAAACAATTGCGTTAGCACACTTGTTAAACAAACAATATAAGGTCAAAGCAGAGAGCGTTGTAAACATTCCCCACTACTGCTATCAGTTATATTTAGATTCTGAATATAAATAGATTTTAGAAATTAGATTTTATATCAGTATTAGGTTTTATTAACCATGGAATATCCCAAGAAACGTAAAATTGACAGAGAGTGTCGAGCATTTAACAAAGATTGGATACCAAAGTATTTTTTGTAATAATCCGGCCCGCCGAGGACTTCATTTTCCCACATCTGGCCCGCCGACTATAGAAGTTGCCCACCCCTTCACTAAATCAAACTTTGAAACCAGAAATATACTAATAGAAACCTGGGATTTGATTTGGATCGTCGGTTTTAGAGTCTGCTTCTGTTGAACCCTCTTGATTCACGACCTTGATGTTGGAGGAACCCGATATGAGATTCTTTGCTGTTACTTGATCTGAACAAGAGAAACAGGCAAGCTTATAAGCGGATATAGGGTTGAAGTTATTTCAATATTCTCATCCTAAGATAAATGTACTACTGCCCCTATATGGGGGTGATCATAGTCACTAACGAATGTACCCTTTTGTCAAATAGAAGTACATGAAGTCAAAAAAATGCTGCTATTTTTTACATCCCTGATTTCCGGTTCAGATTAGAATAAAAGCATCAGTAAATGTAGACTAAACACCCCAAATACACCCTAAAAGGTGGCTTTTTAGTGAAGATATGAATCATTCAATTATTGATATGTGCATTGAGGATATAATCTGGTTACCAGTTCATGTTGGGTTTGAGAAATAAAAACCAGTTATTCGTTTCGCAGTTACGTGAACCACCCAACTTCATAAAATAGAATGGGATTTACATCTTTATCCCACTCCCAGGTGAGAGGGATTCCGATAAGATTGCCTAATTCGATTAGATTTCATTTTGATTCATTCGCAAAAACAAAATAAACATATATACACAAAAGATTAAGGCGAAAAATCTGGAAAGTGAACAAAACCTAATAGAATAAGTTTGAAATTAGTTACGGTCGGTTACAAGATCCAACCAACGGTGGCGAGGTGTGCAGCAATTCTTTTGCACATAACTATGTCTATCCCTGCACAGGATTCAAATCTGCAAACCTCCAGAGATGCCGCGGCGAGCATATTCTTAGCACGATGCACCACACTGCCAATAATATATCTTATCTACATTTAAAACATGATATAGACTGGATTGTTGCAACTGGTGATATCTCATTTAAAATGAGGGATTAAGTTATGAACACTTTCAAACATGAAAATTACTCCCACCTCCTTTGACAACATATTGAAAATTTTGTTTCACTAATGTTACATTAGTTCCAGGAGCTAATTTTAGACTCGAAGTTGGTAAAGATTGAAGGGCTTTTTCATTAATATTCCCGAATGCTTCCACGACTGCAAGTTCGTTCTGGTTACCGGTATTGTTGCCCGATGTCCCCGCCTTTTCCGGTCTGTCTGGCCCTTCTGACAAATTTTCGTCACTTAATTTTCTTTTTCTGGATTTATCCATTAGGTATATCCAGTTATTAATCTATTCTACAGCATCTGGAAAATGAAAAAGAGCCATCAAAACTCAATGACAACACATACCGGTAGGGCATGGGCCGAAAGCCGTACGGTGTCGGTTGGTGGTGACTGTTTTGGGGGAATCAACTTTGTATCATTCGATTCAGAAATGATTCCGATTACGGGAAACCAAAGTTGACATCTTAAAAGTGAAGCAATTATGCGCAAGGGGCGCCGAAACTTGCCTTGTCGGGCCACCTTAATCGGATGAATGACGTAAAAAAATTTCATCACGCTTGGTTGATTTGCAAACAAGAACGTAAAATAGACGCATTTTGTATTCTTATTTCACATGTTTTATTATTTTCCAATTTATATAATTTTTTTTAATCGTAATACCGTTAAAAAAGCTAGTTGTCAATGTTTACGCGCAATTTTGTAATACATCTACGCTATCCGTCGCTATCGTTGCTAGGCTAGAGGCGAAGCCGCCGACTGTCGTCTGCCAATAGTTCGACTGCTATTATTTTCACGTTTCGTTTAACCCTTTCCATGCGATTTTTATTTTTTATAAAATAATCGTATTTGCTACGCCGACTTTATGCATTTGTACCCCCACAACTAATCGATCGACTAACGAAAAAGTAATGATCCTCTGCTGCCCACTGACGGCTCGTTGAAAAGCTTATTTAAAGAGCTTGCAATTGGCAATTAAAAAAAATATTTTTTTTAAAAGGGGTGGTCTGAGTCACAAATCGGATAAAAAAAAGGCATCATTTTTCTTGGGTGTTGAAACTTCAAACCGTAATAAAAAATAGAAATATTCGCTAAATCCTTTACTGTTACCGCTTCTTGGTTGGCAAACAATAGCATAATATTGCTGTAGCAATTTCGCTATCTAACTCAAAATACTTTGGTAGATGGAAGGGATAATATGTCTTCTATTACCACCCAAAAAACACCGAAATTTGCATAAATTTAAAAAACACTCCCTCATTCCACCGCAAATAAAATTCCCACGGTAAACGAAAGCCAGATTTATCGTCGCTTATGTTAATCTCGAAGAAGACTTCTTATCAATAAACTGAAACCCGGAAAAACTAGACCAACAGTTTGCGACCGATTGCTAAATAAAACAGTGGAGTACATCAACGTACCCGCCGCAATCTAGCGAGTTTTGTCGTGGGTACGTATACGTGCCCACCGCACGGAAAGGGTTAAAGTTCAGTGTTCGCTGATTTCAATAGGATTCCGATAGATATTAAATTATGTCAGAAACCACATGCTGTATACACTACCACGACTGCGACGATGGCCTTTTGACTTTAATATCGATCAAAAGTTGTAAAAAGATATGGTATAGTTCATTAGCCTGGAAAGATTTGGAAAGTGAGGTAGATAAAGAAATAGCTAATAAATATTTTGAAGTTGGATGGAAATATTCTTAAAACTAAGCATTGCTACAAAAAATGTTATTTAAAATTCACGAACATTTTTTGCAGATATTGGTAACAAATTTGCAAGACGGAATAAGAATGTTCTTCCCACCAAATGTATTATATGCAGAAAAGAAAAATTTATTAAAATACATAAAGCGCATTCAAGAGAAAAACTGTCATGTTGCGAATATTCTTGTTGCATATTCATATATTTATAACGCTATAAGGTCATTTATATAATCCAGGCAGTTTATAATTGAGTGTCAGGATGAGTAGCATGTATGAGTTTGTTGTATAGCTGATTGTTAGGCATACATAATATCTGTTATGAGAGAATCCGGATACCATATCTGTTTAGTTATTGATGCTGAAGCATTTGTTCAGTATAGCAACGCACATCTTTGAGAGAGATTTCTTATTTTAGTTCCATACTGATGTAGGCAATATTTTATTTCAGATGGCCTTTTCTATGAAGCTGCCCTGGCAAGAAACGATGAGTCTGTATTGGTGCAAATCAGAAATAGAGACTTGGTAGCGATCGAAGTGCGATATCACCCGTCATGCTATAAAATATAAGAAACACCAAAACAGTTAGCGTTGGGAATGACCGTTAGGCATTGGACCGGTTCTTCCCGACTTATAGAATTGCTTCATGGCCTCGGTCACTCGGCATCCCATTCTGTTGTGCTAGAGCAGCGTTTCCCAAACTTTTTCGGCCACGGAACACTTAGAAAGCTAAAATTGATAAAGAAAAACGGTGTAATGTAGCGGTTCCCAATGGGTTCGCTAGTATATATTTACGGTTAAACCGTAAATATGTTAAACCGTAAATATATACTACTATGGTTAAACATACCTGAAATATGATTGAATATTTTACATATTGCATTTATTATAAATGTTTTTTTGTTTCCTGATTTGATTGCTGCGTATATGAATCAATAAATTCACTAATTCACAATTTTTTACCTGTCTATGTCGTTTACTTTCCATCACGTAGTGTTTGCCTCCAATGTTACCTCTAATGGAGATAAAAGTACTTGCTGCAATTTCGCGAGCTGCAGTTTATTTATCTGCTGAATTGAATTTAGCGAACATGAGTAATTTTTCAGCATTTCATAGTAAAGCCAGGCAGAGACAGAGGAAGAAGAGGTGACCTTTTGCCTTTATTCTTTAGACCCACTTGTTTGCTTATAACAAAACCAAAAGGATTGCTGTACTTAACAGTCAAAAAGCTACGCCGACAGTTAACGAAAATGCCACTACTCTACCTTAGTTAGTCCGCTTTAGGCCGACGATGACGCGAAATTGAACGGTCAGTTGGGCGACAACTTCACGATCCCTAGATCGCAATGGCGACATTTTTGATTCCTTCTCCACAGAACACTCGAAAGACGCTCGCGGAACACTAGTGTTCCGCGGAACACAGTTTGGGTAACGCTGTGCTAGAGCATGACACTGACCCATTGACCCAATTGCAACTGCAAAAATTGATTCAATGTGGAGACAAAATCTGGAGAAGGAACGACACATGATACAAATGGAATTTTAATACAGGTCACAGAAACTGTTGTTGCCCCTCAATCACGAGAAAAACCGTCGATATTTATTGAAATCTCAAGAATTCATACAGGCTCAGTGGTACATTCCTGAAAATAAATATATTCAACTTTCAAAGTTTGTTTACACTCTCAATGGTTACTCTGATGAGACGTCTGTTAACAAAGTACGTTTTGAAAATTTTCAAAAGTAATCGCTCTATTCAGCGCGTGCAAACTACCAGTGTGCCATACACAGGAGAGCACTACAAAATTTTATATCTGCTCCAAAACCTGACCACGGATAAATAGTAAATGATGGAAATATAAATATTAAATGGATTGCCCCAAACTCAGTGCTAAACCACTCTAAATGCAGATGCGCCAAAATGAATTGTAAGAACAGCAAATGTCCTTGTGTGAAGTCAGAGTTCTCATGCTCCAGTTTGTGCAGTTGCAACGATTGTAGCAACGCGAATGTCATGCGTGAGGAAGACGATGATATTAATATCGAAATATGGTTTTAACTTTCATGAAGTCCATCCCAATCAACTAAAAGAGTGATATACATTCATTATACGAGATATAACGAATTATTTTAATTTAAACATATTCAATAGCGATATGTGCACCATATTAGCCGCGTGCTTGTTCATTTTTAATATTTCAATTGCTTTTTTTGCAATTCTTACAATTGTCATAGTAGATTTTATAGCAGGTGACGCTGATTAGATAATTATTAGGGCATGAGAAATACTTTGCCAAGAATACGTCATAAAAAACTAGTTTTAAAATATCCGTTTCTGTGCGTATCGTTAGGAAACAGCAGGGATAGTCATTGCAGATTACTTAGTCTCCGCACAATAACAGAAAATTAAATTTCGAAAAGCAGTTATGACGTCACATTTGACCGAAGAGCAAATTGTGACGTCACCTGATACAAAAACTTACCCCTCAAAAATTTTCTGTTACAAATCCGTCAAAGGTTTCGGTATCCAACGTACAAATCCTAGGTTTAAGTAGAATATTATAAGATAGATATGAATTGTGAGGTCATCGTTAATTGTGACGTAATTCTCCACTTTGGAGATGTCAACTTTTTTTATTTAGTAAATTGAGCTTTTTGACCCACTAAAATTTAGGTTCCCCCTTAAGAGTCACCACGAACTCGATTTTTAAGCGCTCTACAGATTTCGGCCCATGGCCTATAAATTTTGTTCCGCGAGAGACATAAAATTTGCGGACCCCTGGGCCGTAGCCGCTAGTCTGTCGCGGCTTCTTCCACATCCGAGTCCATGAATTTGAAAACAAATGGCTGATTTTTTGCTATGGTTTGGTGATCGGACTGGAGGCCATGGTAGGATGAGGAATCGGGCTGTAGTAATGAATGAGATGTACGAAAATCATTATTATAAGTTTGGGAAAATTTACTTTATTTCCAATATTTTAATGTGAAATGGGGTGAATTTAGGGAGTGAAATGCTATAAGGCAAGAGTACATGGCGGTTTTTGAGAAGGTAGAACCCTGGAATCTTCCATTGCCGACCTATTATATGATAAAAGGGACCGTGCTACTATTACTATCAAAACAACAAAATCGCCTTTCCATCAATAAACGGGGTAATTTTAGATATATTAAAAAACTCGCTGAAGAACACCAAGCTCATTAAAACACACTATAAACTATGATTTGTCTTCTTATTTGGTCTGTAATATATTCGTTCCTGGCTTTACATTTTTTGTAGTGCCTTTGGGGGGGGGGGGGCGATGAAGTTGCATAAATTACTGTAGGGGGGCGATGGCCAAAAAAGTTTGTGAACCACAGGTATAGACTACCCTGAAGGGTTCAGCAAATTTTTTTTAACAAAAACATCCACTGTTAGATCCTGTAGAGGTGAGTTGTGCAGTGATTCCCTCCCCCAAAAAATTTATAGGGGGTTGGTGGTGGACGCCCCTCTAAAATTTCAAACACCTACTCTAATTTTTAGGTGTGACACCATACATAATTCTTAACCTAAGCGGCTCATATACTGGTGAAGATAGTTTTATCACTAACGA